GCAGGTGGCGTGACACTAGTGACGTGACCTCGCTGACGCAACAATATGTTTGAATGCATTGTTTTTGACATCCATCTACAACCTCTCACAAAGCCTCTTAATTTACCCCATACAACACGCATATATACAGAATATTTTCCAAAATTTTAATATCAGGAACAAAATTTTATAAAGTACTGTACCATTACATTCCTATTTCGGAGTAAAATAAAACTGTTCTTCCAAGTCAGATTTCAGGTTTATTTCTTTATATTTTTAAGGGGGGGTCTCTGGATCTCGGAGGTTCAAATCCATGCGTTCCAGAAAATATTATCCCACTTTAAGCTGTGGGTTTATTATAAGAGTGACAATCACTTAACGTAAATGGCGGATGCTACTGACTGACCGCATTCCCTCTGGTCATAGGATGGTGTGCACAAGCTAGTAGGACAATCAGCAGAAAATTGAGATCAACAATGGGCAGCACTCCCAGTTGATCCTTGGCAGTTTGGAATCTGATAAGAAATTATCTTGGCACCAGTTTAGTTTTACTCACTTATCTGTTATAAAATAACGCTGATGGTCTTCTACAACTTTGAGAGTTGATGAAGGTTTCTTGCCCACAGTTATCACTTTGACTCCAAGCCCTGGACATTACATTTCCCTGTACCTCTCTTGTGGATAAAAACTCAATTATGTTCAAGATGGTCCCTTAGATCCTTTTGCTACAAATAGGCCAACATTGCAATTTGGAATTGATTAGAGGAATCTTTTATAACCGCCACTTATTGAACAAAACCTTAAACATCTACCTATAACTAATCTGAAAGAAATGATGCACGGGGTAGTCCTGTGATAGACCTCTTCTAGGTTTCAAAGCTGGTTCAAATCCGTGAGGCACCACTAATTATTCCACGTATTTTAGGCTGTGGCTGCATTATAAGAGTGACAACTAATCCCTTAACGTGAGTGGTAGGGTGCTGTTTACTGGCTTCTTTACCTCTGGTCAGTAGTTCAAAATTAGAACAGATAGTCTTAGTAATTTGCCATAATTACAAAATATGAAAAGAAACCTTCGAAGAGATGGAGATTTCTCTTTCGTAACTGTAGACTTCATTTTGTGGATGAAGATGTTTGCTGGGTTAGCGGGGAATTTAGAGCTTATGATTGCCTTAAACCCTCACTCGTACGAGTTTTCCCACTACCATGGCATTGAAGTCTTTCTTCGTCGAAATGTTTATTTTCTGGCTCTACATCTCTTAATAATGTCGATATACGAATATTAGTTCGCAGACAGATCCATGACGTGTTAGCTGGTCATAAATAAATAAGTGACAGCGCTGTATTGTCGAGAATTCACCGTAGATGAAATACGTTGGTGTTAAATATGCTATCTGTTGCGGAATGGCTTGCATCTTCGGCAACTTATAACTGTATTAGCATATATATATAAATATAGTCGTAAAAAGTGCGATTAATTATCTGTATCTTAGAAGAAAAGATGTGTGAATTATTGATAAATGTGACTGGACCAACAAAATAACTAAATATTTTACCAAAAGAATTTACAAAGCGATGAAAAACCTTTGCAAAAAATTTGTGATGCAGTATAGAAATTTAGAGCTGGTAAAGGAGATTAAAGTATTCAAAGTTATGTAAATTTAAATTTATTTGTTGCAAATTAAGTTTTACTAACAAGCGAACTTAAAATATTCAGAGTTACATTTTATTTTTTTCGAAAATATAGTTCAATACGGATACATGTATTTGATATTACAATTTTTTTTATCACATTCAACTCATTAAAAGATGCACGCAGAACATTATATATATATATTTGTTTCAAAAAATAACAAGAGAAGATGGAAAACGGAAGTACCCTCAACAAATGTAACAGCATTGAACGCGTCTTTCCGTTTGTGAAGAGGAAAGCTTCTTCTTTCCATGATAGAAAGCTATCATAATTTTCTTAAGCCTATTCAGCGAATTATTAATCTTGGTGGTGTTTTTATAACGCTTCTTCTTAAATTTTTTTTATCATATTAACTCTACAAGCCGTCTGTAATGTCTGCAAGAAGCGTTAAAAAAAGAAGTAAGGCTACTTCCCGGTCAGCAAAGGCGGGTGTCTTGTTCCCTGTTGGGAGGATGCATCGTTATCTCAGAAATGGAACCCACCATCTTCGCATCGGCGCAGGAGCGCCCGTTTATATGGCAGCCGTTATTGAATATTTGACTGGTAAATTATTTCTTATATATGTTAAGATTTTGCAAAATATAAATTCATTGAACATTGAATTATATAACGTGGATTGCCACTTAAATTAAAAGTCCTGAACTTGATTAAGCAAAAGGTAGTAACTGAGATCTCGGAATAATTCAGAGTGGTACTGGTACAGTGGTACTGAGTCTTTGGTAGCGGTATAGTTGTACTGCTAGTAGTAGCAACTAGTGATAATAATATAACGCTTCTAGTTCTACTGCTCGAGCTTGGAACAGTGGATGAGTCTAACTTTGTAGTTGGTGAATTAATGAACCAAGTGTTTCCAAGTTTGAAGTGAGGAACTATAACTTTTAGGTCTTCAGGAGTGGACCTATGCCATGGTTGGTCCAATGTGATGCATCTTGAAATTTCATGGATTTTAGTAACTTACTAAATGATTTGGCTCTAAATTGGCTCAGATCAAAAACTTCCAATTCATGGAACTTGCTTTGAGTAAGGGTTTCGATGATTTTTTAAATAATGAACATAACAAAAAAAAATTCACACACCGTTGGATTCCACAGTAAAAAATTAGTAGATTTATACTGCAAGTTCAATTATGTAGTTAATAATTAATGAAAAACAATTAAAAAATCCTGTCTTTAAATCAACCTTTCTCATCACGCCACCTTTCCATTGAAACAATGTTAACAAAATGTCAGTGACTGACATCAAATTATCACTTGCTAACCTGAGACTGTATGAAACCTGTGTCAAGGCAAGATAAAATGTAGTCCGAATAAAGTCCATCAGTTTCAAACTTGTACACATGGATACATATTATATGGATAAATGAAATGAAAATTGTCAACAACCAGATGTTAATAATGAAGTATAAGTTTACCTATGAAAGTGTAAACATTGGTTGTAAACTTGAAATACCGTGATTGACAGATACGTACCAGTAGTAACCTCGACCCATTCTTCGACGTGTCATGATGTAATTGATACATCGTTCATACCAGTTTTATCATAGACTGTTGTAGCACGTTCTTTCATCACAGACTGTTGTAGCACACGTTCTTTCATCACAGACTGTTGTAGCACACGTTCTTTCATCACAGACTATTGTAGCACACGTTCTTTCATCACAGACTGTTGTAGCACACGTTCTTTTATCATAGACTGTTGTAGCACACGTTCTTTCATCACAGAATGTTGTAGCACACGTTCTTTCATCACAGAATGTTGTAGCACACGTT